CGTATCACAGAGATGAAACAGCAGTTTCAAATCCAAATTTTGTCTGTTTTATTGTGTTCCAGAGGATCTCTTTTGATTTTTGTGCACAAAAATACTTTCAAAAATTAAATATTTTTGAATGACAATCAAGAAAACCGTGCAATGCTGAGATGAATAAAATGTAATATAATTTTTTGTTCCATTTATCATGTTTAACTTATAGCTTGATATTTAAGCTCTTTAAATTGTGTCCAACCTTAATCTTACAGGGACTGTAAAGAAAAAATAAAAAGGGGGTATAGGCTGAAAGCAAAAATGCAAAATAATTTGATATTTGATTGTGCGTAACCTTGACCTGAAGTTAAAAATTGACGATTCTACAAGGATTTCAATAAATGTCATTGGAGGAAAATCACTTTTCTTCAATAACATATCACTTCAAAATGTTTATAGATTTTTTAAGTTGTCTGAACTATTAAGCATAGAGTATATCAAATAGAAAGTGAAAAACTAAAAAAAATGTTTTTATATTTGTCAGCGAGTGTTTTGACAAGGTTAGTGTATAGTAAAAAACCAGATTATTTTTCGACTAAACTTACATAAAAATAAAATAGTTTTCAACAATTTTTTAAAAAATTTTTTATAATGTCTTATAAAGTAGTATCCGGGGTTTCCAAAATGATATTAAACAACATTCCAAGCCAAAAACTATGCATTTTATGAACAATTTAAAAGAACAAGTTCAAAATGTCCAAACACGTCATTAAATTATAAGAGAGTTACAATTTTTAAAAAACTCAAAAAAAACGGAGTTTTTGAACTGTTCATTGATCGACCATTTTTGAAGGTATTTCAAAAAGTAATGACATTTTAGAATAAGTTTAAAATATAGAAAATGAAAAAAAAAATAGTTTTTGTTTTGTTCAGTTCTCAGGGTATGTTATTGAGGTGCAAGTGCGCATCAATAAAATCAATGATTTTGGGGCAAAAACAGCTTATAAAACTATGAATTTTCAAAATATTCAGTATAAGTTGGTTTTATCTTATAGAACATTATCTGGGATTTCCAAAATGATATAAAACATTATTCTCAGTCAAAAAATTAGGATGTTATAAAAGTTTTAAGAAATAAAATCAATAAAGTTCAAAAATGGCCAAAAAATCACGTTTTTTCCGGTGGCACCGGAAAAAATGGTCCAAAATAAAAAATATTTTGGATTTTTCTTAGTTTCATATATATCTATTCAAAAGAAAAAGTGCACCTCTGAACATTTTTTACAGGGCCGCCCTAATCTATCTATCTATCTATCTATCTATCTATCTAGCTATCCAACTATATGCCTATTGATCTATCTATCTATTTCAATATCTGTCTTTATACACTGCCCTGGTTTAGTTCTATTGTCCCCTATATACCTCTCGATGATCTCCAATCTATAGAACACAATGAAAACCATTCAATTCTATTTTTCAAAAATCTTAAAAATGAAAATAATTTTAAACAAAAAATACAAATAGCAAATACATAGGAAACATATTTATTGCGAGAGAAGGGGCAATCATCTCAACGTGTAAAGCTATATTGGTGGAAAACCTGTAGTTCTAATTAGAATTTGATAAACTATTCGTTATATCCTGGGCGTTTTTTTTATATAGAACCTTCAACTGGACAATTCAATCAGTTTAGGTTTTTGCATTATATTCACGTACTGGCCGGGACCGATCCAACTCTTATCTTTACCGTACACGACATATATCAGATAACCGGCCAGGCCGTATCTATACCGTAGACGACATATAGCAGATAACCGGCCAGGCCGGAATCAAACTAGCCGTAGTGTACAGAGGCCTGATATTTGACCCTGTACGGTCCAGCAATAAACATGGATTAAATGGGTAGCGAGAATATAGGCAGGTTGGATCTTTGTGAATAATGCAAAGTTAGGTTTTTTAATTTTCAATAGTTGACAAATCCTCAGCAACATTTCATAATAAAAAGAATAAAAAAGACAACAATCATTCCACTGTTTTCTGGTTACCACTGTATCATAGTAAGGATGGAGAGATGAACGGATGGAAGGATGAATGAATGAATGAATGATAAAGAGAGAAGTTCTATCCGGGTTTTTAGGTATTTTTAACCTCATTTAGATATTATCTATGCACGTTTACTCAATACTGCACACAGACACACACCACACATACACACACAGTTCACACAGCACACAATAGGGAGGGTAGGGTTCAGAACAAACCTATAAAAAGATTGGGATGAACTCTTAAACATATACTTCAATCTTCATCTCTCTACTATCTATCTATGTAATTATTTCTTGCGCATATTTATCTATCTATCTATTAGTCCATGTTTATATATTTATGTCTATCTATCTATCTACTTCATGTTTATGTATTTATGTCTATCCATCTATCTAGTTCATGTTAATGTATTTATGTCTATCTATCTATCTAGTTCATGTAAATGTATCTATGTCTATCTATCTATCTAGTTCATGTTAATGTATCTATGTCTATCTATCTTTTCTACTTCATGCTTATGTATTTATGTCTATCTATCTATCTAGTTCATGTTAATGCATCTATGTCTGTCTATCTATCTAGTTCATGTTTATGTATCTATGTCTATCTATCTATCTACTTCATGTTTATGTATTTATGTCTATGTATATATCTACTTCATGTATATTTGTCAATCTATCTATATAATTAACCCCCGATGTAAAAATGTTGATTAGTGAAATCCATCAGATTTTCTCGATTTAAAAAAAAATTATCTTTCGAACTCATTTTTTGTCTTACTTCAAACACGTTTCTTGTTTTGTTTTCCATTTTAATTCCTTTTAACTCTGCTCAACCCTTTTCTCCTGCCTTCTAGAAGATTAAGGGATTAAACAGAGTTCCAGGAGGGAGAAGGGGGGGAATGTGGATTTATCCCCTAGGGATGGGGAAACTAGACACTTATGTAGAGTAATGGTATAGCACTTTCAATCTTACTAGAATTAGGTTCAAACATGAGAGAGTGGAGATCATAGATAGATATATAGATAGATAGACAGATAGATAGATAGATAGATAGATAGATAGATAGATAGATAGATAGATAGATAGATAAATAGATAGATAGATAGATAGATAGATAGATAGATAGATAGATAGATAGATAGATAGATAGATAGATAGATAGATATATAGATAGATAGATAGATAGATATATAGATAGATAGATAGATAGATAGATAGATAGATAAGATATATAGATAGATAGATAGATAGATAGATAGATAGATAGATAGATAGATAGATAGATAGATAGATAGATAGATAGATAGATAGATAGATAGGCAGTAAAACAATGCTTAACATTCCTGTTATTTTTAAAAATTTACAATTTAAACATGTAATTTTATGGTTAAAAATTATTTTTATTTTCTTCTTAAAAAAAATATTAAATAACATTTTTTTCATGTTCCCATTGTAGTATTAGGAATCTAGTCTATTGTTTTAAGCGTGAAACACTGTTGACTTTATACTTGGAGAGGGTCAGTAAGATAATAGGGGAGTTAAGCCAGGGGCAATATATTTCCTGGGTGGGGGAGGGCAGAAAAATTGCATAATTGTGTATAAATTTAAGGATTTCAAATTATGTTTATGTTTGAACAAGTGTTGAAATGATAAAATTGTTCACCCCTTGTTTTGGACTGTTCTTATCACAGGAGATTTAGGGTGACAACCCTTTTACGGAGTTTAGCTAGTTGGATAGGTAGATAGATAAAGTTAGATAGCTAAACTCTATTTTTCAAGCTATTTTGATTCTTGGGAGCAAGGATTCTTTCAGTGGAATTAAACAATAACTATTTTATTCACCTTATTTGCTCAATTTCATCTAAAAACAATAATGTGGTATAAATCGTCATTTTTCCTAGCTTGAAAGTGTCGACGTCTGAAAGTTCTGTAAAAGATCCTCAGTTTCTCTGTAGTATAAATGCACAATTCATTTTTAAGAAAACCCACGATTAAAATAACCAATTTGTATTCATAGTGCAGTCATATATAAGTATACAATTAATTAGCTGAAAATTACTGCATAAAAGTGGTCAGCAATAAATAAGTGTAATCTAAATGGACAAGTGCATGCATCAGAACTAGTTTTAGAACAGATAGCTTTCAGTTTCCTTGTATTCAAGGTTTTACAGATAAAGCAACATGTCCGAAAATTTCATATTATATATATATACTTTGCTTGTTTCTTTGTATCCAATAAACGTCAAAACGGCAGAACCGATTGGGCCCAAATTTTGTTTGTGACCACAGAGAAGGCTTATGGATGATCGAATTTTCTCACAAAATTCGATTATAGAAATTTTTAAAATTCCACAAAAAATTTTTTATAAAATCCGCGAGTTTTTTTTGTTTTGTTTTACAGTGTAAACAAAGAGAATATGTTCACAATTGAAATAGCTAGAAGATTATAGCCTATATATGAAAAATTAATTATCCTTAAACCGATCACCCTAAACTAAGCATTCGGTGAGAGTACTGCAGATCACTGCAGTACTCTCACCGAAAGAATAAGGGTTTTAGTGGAGAGAGTGTGTTCTTAAAAATGTATATAATTTTATTATGGACATGCTTATTTCTTTTAGGCATAAAATAAGTGTAACTGCGATTCGTTCTCTGTACGTCTTAGAAAATGCTGCATAAAATAATTTAATTTGTTTGTAGATTGGGGTAGGAGAAACCTTAGATATTTTTTTCAAAATCGTGTTTTGAATAATTTTAACATTTGTTTTTTTTTTCATGGTAAGTTTTCAACCTTTTCAATCACTAAACTTTTTAAATTCTAAGTTTTTAATTTCGTAACCCCTCTTACACCCCCTTTATTAGAGTCTACACCCTATGAGCTGTCACTACCCGAAATTCCGAAACTTTGACATGAAAATCCGCCAGTCTTTCTGCTTTCCCCTTCCCGCCAGACCGCCTCCAATCAGCGGCCAGACATTGTATCCAACCAGCCAATCAGAACAGAGATTCACAATTCGTTCCGACAAATGGAACTAGAAGCATTGTCCGTGCACAGCGGGAGAGGGCCAATGAAAACGCTGCGCTTTCTTAAATTTCCGGAAGTCTGTAAAACAAATAGGCGCTCAGCCCAGTCAGTTCCGTGATAAAGCAAAGCAAACAGGCCAGTTATGCAGTAAAACAAACAGTTAAATTACAAAAATTCTTAAGTGGTTGATTAATTGATTGATTTTGAACCGGAAGTGATCAAAATGTTGGTTCCATCTGATATGGTGAGCGCTCAAACCAAACTTATGAATCAGATAGAAAAGTTTCAAACACATCAAGTCAGGCAGGGGGATTTTTTCATACCAGAAATATGCATTTCTTAAAATTTTCAAATCTACGGTGATGTATAATATTTTATTCCGAAAAAAAAAAGTTAAATTATGGTTGAAATAATTTCCACTGTATTTTTAGTGATAGAAACATTGGTATCAGGAAAACCATTCATGATGTCTGCACAGTGGTTCAAGATATGCTCAAGGAACAAAATTCATCAAAATACTTATCACTGAAGTTTTGCGACCCAACCTTCAAAATACTGGAATAAAATTAAAGCTCAGAGACATAAACTATTCAGTTTCAGAACAACAACAAATTAATATTACGAACCAATTATAAAAATTTATGAATATTGATCTTCTATCAATTTTGCATTAATTATTTAATTATAGATCGGAGTGTATTACTTAAAACGAACATATTTTTATCAATACTGTAAAATTTGAAAACGAAAATTAAAATAGTTTCTTGGTTATCATTTTCTTGTTTTCAAGATAAATGCAAGTTAAAAAAAAAAGATTATAATTTCTCTGTACAAAAAATTAATATTATCCATAAATGCATAATTCCCCCCCCCCCTCCACCACCTCTTCAAAATATCTTTTTGAAGATATCAATTATAGTGCCAATTCGAGAACGAAAAAAAATTTTCCAAAAATGTACTCTTGGTTTACCTGTAGATGATGATGATGATGTTGATGAACCAGGAGGTTGAGGCCCAGGAGCCGAGGTTTATCTCCTCCCTTACAGAGATCAACGGCCGGTTCGACGGCCTCCGTGTGATCTCCCCGACAGAGTTTGAGGTGGTCCTCTACTTAAACCAGATGGGAGAATTTAACTTTATAGGTATTAACCAACCTACCGCAAAAATATCAGAATATCAACTGCCAAATGATCAAAAATCTTTAACTGATCAAAAAAATGTACGCTAAACAGTTAGTACAACTATTTTTTTTTCCAAAATATCATACAGTTTTACAATAAAGTTAATTTTAAAGTTTAAGGTATTCTTAAACATATTTTTATCATAAAACGTCTTTTTTTACGCAATCTATTTTTTCTTATTTCTCTTCTCTTCTATTTTTTCCCTTTATTTTCTTCTTTTTTTCTTCTACGTTTTTTCTCTTTTTCTTTTCTCTTCTTTTACTACTCTACTCATCTGTTCTCTCTTCTCTTTTCTTCTCCTCCCTTATCTCTTATTGTCTCCTCTTTGATTTCTCTTTGTTGTCGACATTTAACCGGTTTTGAGATGAACAATGTAGCACGAACCGTTGTTATGATTTTTCTCTGATTTGTTTACATTTCTAGCTTGTAGACCTAATTGAAATGTACTGCGTTTGATCATTTGGCATTTGATATTCTGATATTTTTGCAACCTACCTAGCTACTCACCTCGTGTCAAACTAAAATAGATTCACGTATTATTAAAATATTTTTGATCATAATTCATAATTCCTTTTTTGAAGAGCAGAAAAATCTAATTTCAAATACGCAATTAAATTAATTTTCTGTTCTTAAGCTTAGGCTTTAAATCAAAATTAGAAGAGCTAAGAGGTCATAAAAGCGTACCAGTTATTTACCGTAATTTGACCTATTTATCTAATTTCAGATCCAAGTCTAGTTTTTGCATTTTGCTAACATTTTTCAGTTTATTCTGTAATGTCATATATAAAATATCATTGTTTCAATTCATTCATTTTTATTTTTGTTCTCTGTCCAAAATAAGACAAGTTTTAATTTTTATTAAATGATGTGTTAAACAGAAATTTGACCATGAAAAAGACAATCATCTACAGAAATATGAGAGTTTACTACTTTGGTGTAAAATAAAATTACAAGTACATCATTAAATGAAGGAGTTTGTGACAATGTTTGAAAAAGTTTTTGATTTCGATTCTATCATGTCTACACTTTATTATATTATATATTATACACTGCAATACTATATTTTGATATATTATTTCTTTTCAAAATTTAATTTTGATTTGTGAGAAAAAAAATTTTTTCTAAAAGACGTTTAGATATTTAAGGTTTTTTCTAACAGGGGGGTACAGAAAATGAAAAAATAACCCTTGTTTACAATTCTTTTCTTTTATATTCATTGTTTTATTTTTTATTTTTATGAAATTCTATTGAACGTTTAACGATTTTTTCATGTTTTGACCTTTCCAGAATCTTTTTGTATATTTTACAATAACAGTAGTGAAAAATACATAGGTTCTTCTAGATTCTTGAAATTCAGGAAGATTTGTTAATTGATTAATTAATTACAGACGATGGTTCTATGCCTGGCTGTGCAGTGCTTAAACTTTCAGATGGTAGAAAAAGGTGAAACTCATTATTTCATTACTATCATCATTATTATTATTATTATTATTATTATTATTATTATTATGATTATTATTATTATTATTATTATTATTATTATTATTTTATTGGATACAAACAGACAGACAGACAGACAGACAGACAAACAGACAGACAAGCCAAATTTATACATAGATAATGGATAGATTGATGAAATCATAGATAACTTTTTCCCCGAGCCTACTTGTTCTGTTTATTCACAAATTTTGGTTTTACAATTTTCACATTTGGATTGGTATATTTGTTTGTTGGTTAGTTGGTTTACACAGGGGTGTCAGAGAAATTAATAGCAGGGGGGGGGGGTTGTCTACAATTTTTTTGACGAGCCTAAAGTTTGAAATAAAAACGGCGATGTGTTTAGTTTAGTTTTGAATGCTTTTAGCTTACCTCCCCCCCCCCTACATCCCCCTTAAATTGATTTTTGTACACCCCTTGGTTTGATGAACGATTACTAGTAATTGCTGCATGCAAACCTAAATTCTCGTGTTTCCAAACCACACAATCCACAAATCCACCATTTCCTTCCTCGCACACAGAGACATCTGGTGGTCACTCAACCAGATAAACACCAGTTCCTGTACAATATAGTAAAACAACCAGATAAACACCAGTTCCTATACAGTAGAGCAATACAACCAGATAAACACCAGTTCCTGTACAATAGTGTAATACAACCAGATAAACACCAGCTCCTGTACAATAGAGTAATACAACCAATTTACCCCCGCAATAGTTTCCTTTCACAGTCCTCAAAGCCAAGAATTAAAACAATCTGATTTCAAACATTATTTTCAAGTCTGTAACAAACATTTTTAATGTTTGATTTTAAGTTTTCATAACTACTTCGTAAATGAATTTAACACTTGATAAAAATTCAAATTTTCTTCTCCTTTTATCATTGCAAACAGATTTAGAAGATATTTGAAATAATAAAGCTTTACGCCATTTGGTTGCAAAGATATAGGAAAACCAGAGCAGGGGAAAATTTTTACGTTAATTTCTTTTAAAAAGTAAAAAACAGACCGCAATTTGGAAATCACAGAATGAATAAATTGAGACTTTACATCGTTTTAAATAAGATTGTGACTGTCATGAATTGATAAAGTTTTAATTCGTTACTTAGTTTACATGTTTTTCGTCACACCCTTTGTTTCAAAATATAAAAAGGACTCATAATATTTTCATTTTAGCGCAGAAGTTATCTCTAGATTAAGAAAGGGCTGTAAAGTGTCAGGGATTGTGTAAGGCTTGAAGATTATAAATAGCTTAGTTTAGGTTTAGTTCAGGTTTAGTTTGTCCAGACGAACAAAATAAAATAATAAAACTGCCATTGTTCCAATCTTAAATCAGTAACAATTCCGCTTAACCGAAAATTTAAGGATTTATCTTTTAAACCATAAACATATTTAAGAACAGGTTTAAGAATGAAAATTCAGGGTAATTTTGAACCTTTAATACAGGAAAACTGTCTCCCCCCCCCCCCTTCGCCTCGCCTGCCTACCTATCAAAATTCTAAAAATTCGATTGATTTACTGTTTCTCTTGATTTAATTTGATTTATTAATTAATTCGTTTGATCATTCGTTAAATGTTTCTTTCCATACTTCGTTGTGAATTCATTGATTAAATTTTTTATCTAACCCATAGCTTAACTAAATTAACAGATAGAATAATATACGTCGTCTTTTCAAGATTTAAAGCTTTTGTTCACAATAACACTTAAGCAGACGCCCAAAAGTTTCGCACATGCTGCGTAGAATTACAAGACAGAGAGAGATGCTTTTCTACGCAGACTGCGAGTAGGTTCTTCGGGCTTCTGTCTCAGGGTTATTGTGAACAAAAATAACCTTTAAATCTTGAAAATCTAGTGTCCTATCTGTTATATTAATTAATCTATGCTCTAACCATTTACTTTAGTTTTTTCAATAATTCAGTTTTTTAAATATCGTTGATTAATTGATTATCTAGTTGTTTATTCAATTGCTTAACTGATTACCAAATAATTTTTTTTATAAATAACTTATTGATTAATTTTTTATTAATTGATTGATTAATGAAATAATTGTTGAAATTGATTTTTTGATTAGTTAATTGAATAATTCATTAAATGATTGATTGACTGATTTATCAAATATTTGATTGATTTATATTCTAGTTGCCCAAGCCTGTGATAAATCCTCCTACCGTGATTCAGTAAAGATGATGAACGATGCAAGTGAAGTTAAAATTAGGTAACAAGTTTTACTTATTTGGAGAATATACTAGACAGCATCTTACAACACTTTTCCTTAATTTAACCTAGTTTCTTCACAACTTTATAAATGTTTAGAAATCCTTCTATATCAACAAAACAAGTTTGCTTTTCGTGAACACTCCCTTTAAGTTGAGATTGGAGCGATATTCATGTTTCCATTTTTTTATTATATGTTGAGCTGGGAACTTTAGAATTTATGTGAATATCCAATGTGGACACTTTTAATTTCTTGATTGATCCGCTTTTTCTCTCTCTTTTTGTATATTCCTTCCAGATTCATACCAATTAGAGTTCTCGCTTTTCAGAATTAAACTATAGATTAAATTAATCTTGAGATTAATAAAAAGATGATATCAATCATTAATCTCATATCCACAATTCTAAAGTTTTCAGCTCAGAGCAGAAAACTTTAGAATGGGATATCCTTAATCCCGATCTGTTGACTTATCTGGAGATTAAATTCATGAGGACAACAAGCCATATTTAATCTGGAGATTAAGAAAAAGAGTGGATTAAGCATTAATCCTGATATCCACCATTCTAAAGTTTTCAGCTCTGAGCTAACAAATAAATATACACTTAAATCATAGAAAAGATCTCAACACTCACTAAAAATTCTAAATTTCTTTCACTAATCACAACCAGATGTTGTTGACCTTTGATATTTCAAATAATGAATAGTTATTTAGAGGTGAGGGATAAGTTCCTTTAGATAAAAGCAGGCGTTAAAATCAGAAATTCAAAATAATATATAGCTTTCATTCGAGTTTTTCTAAAAAATTCTGAAGTCAAATATTCACGTTTGATTGAATAATATTTTAGAATCCGTGAAAAGTATGTAGTTCAGATAACACCAGCCTTCAAGTGCAATGGAGTTTGGCCAAGGCAAGTTTTTAAATGAAAATGCTTTTATAAAAAAAATTGATAAAACATTCATATCTTTATAACAGTTGCATTCTTCCCTAGGTCTGCTGCACACTGGCCTTTAATGCCGATGACTTGGCCACATCCTAATCTAGTAGCTCAAGTTAAGGTGAGATGCAACTTTAATGTTTAAAAAGATAATGTTTACTACAAAGTATGTGTTGTGGTTTTGGAAGAACTTGAAGATTTTTGGAAATAATTTTATTTTCAACTTCAACAATAAATTTGGAATTTAATTAGGTTTGATATTGTTGTAAGAAAACGGTTCTAACCTTATAATTATTCAATCCAGGCCGTCATAGCTTGAGTCCTGCTAATAATTTAATATTCAAGCATTGCAATATGCCTAGCAGCTGGTATCAGGCAGTAGGAAAGGACCAGCAGGCAGCCAGGCAGTTAAGCAGTCCGAAAACTAGAAAGATAGTATCCTGTCAAGCCATATCATATCATAACAAGATTATAACATGATAACAAACAAACAAAAACAGACAACAAGTATATTCACCAAAACAATACAATTTCAAGAAATGAAAAAAATGTATTTGATTAGTTTAAGCAAATAGTTTAAGATAATAAAAAACGAGAAATTCTTAAATTAACTTGGATTTTATTTAGATGGAAGGATTTGATTTATTATCCAAAGAATCTGCAGCTCTTCAGAACAAGCAATCCAGCTCATCCATGGAAGGAGATGCCTGGATAATATCCTTTCAGGTGAGATCTTTACAATACAATCATTTACTGCTGAGATAAAAACTTATAAATAAAAAAAAATTAATTTAAAAACTTCTGCTAACATCAAACCTATATAAGGAGGCTGAGGCTCAACTCTTAATTGGAGGTTCAAGAAAAAAATGTCTTTCAATGCTGAAAACTATTCGAGATAGACACCTTGATCTACAGGTATAGACACACTTTCATATAGATAGGTAGATAGATAGATATAAAGATAGATATATAGATATACAGATAGATACTTAGATAGATGTAAGATGGGTAGACAGATGTATAGATAGATGGATAGATGGATAGATAGATAGATAGATAGATAGATAGATAGATAGATAGATAGATAGATAGATAGATAGATAGATAGATAGATAGTAGATAGATAGATAGATAGAAAGATAGATAGATAGATAGATAGATAGATAGATAGATAGATAGATAGATAGATAGATAGATAGATAGATAGAAAGATAGATAGATATATAGACATATAAATAGGTAAATAAATAGATTTATAGATAGATCATTAGAAAGATAGAGACAGAGAGAAATAGACGAATAGACAGAGAGAAAAATGGATGGATAGAAAGATAGATAGATGGATAGATAGATGAACTATACCGTATATATATTTGATAAATGGTAAGGTCGGCTCAAGATACAGATTTTAAATATGTTTAGTCTAAACCTTACATTCAATTTAGATACGAGACTTTGAGGGGGGGGGGGGAAGGAGTAGCAGAGGGAAGGGGGTATACATAAGTACAAGGGGAAGGGGGGTATACATAAGAAGAAGGGGGAAGGGGGGTATACATAAGTAGAAGGGGGAAGGGTTGCAAGAGTAAAGGGGAAAGAAAGAAAGAGAAGTAGAAAGAGAAGTAGTTTATGGATGAGGGGGTATGAGACACTAACCCTCTATGGTGCCGGGCCTCTTACCCTGGAACTCTGCCCCCCTGGAACCGGGAACTATTGCCCCATGGAACCCCTGCCCCCCCTGCCATTTTTCTCCTTAAGCATCCGGTTTTATTTTCATTATAAAGTTTGATAATGATGTGGGTTAAACAATTGGTTGACAAGATAATTAGGTAGTCAGTTAGGTAGATAGATAGATAGATAGAAAGATAGATAGATAGATAAAAATATAAATAGATGGAGGATAAATAGGTAAAGAGATAAATGAAATATAAATAGATGAAGGATTAATAGATAAATGAAATATAAATAGATGAAGGATTAATAGATAAATGAAATATAAATAGATGAAGGATAAAAACCTAAATGGATAAATGCAATTTTAGATAGGTAGATACAAAAGTGGAAAAATAAGAATACATATAGATAGAAAGTTGAATAGATAAATACATAGTAGATAGTGCATGGATAGACCTGGAAAACATGACAGATTAATTGGCCAGGAAACGGATATCATCATATTCTTCTCATAACAGTGCATATACCAGGTCTACTCAGATAGATAGATAAATAGAAGAAAGATAGATAGATAGATAGATATAGATAGATAGATAGATAGATAGATAGATAGATAGACAGAAAGATAGATAGATAGATCGAAAGATAGATATATATAAAAAGATAGATAGATAGATAGATCGATAGATAGACAGAAAGATAGATTTCAAATTAAAGTATATGTTGCTAAAATGACTAAAACTATTATCGTATAGGGTAACCCTGTCAGCTGTTATGTTCTTCAAACCCTTATTCTGTATGAATGTGAGAAACATCCAAGGTATTATTTATCTCTCTCTCTCTCTCTCTCTCTCTCTCTCTCTCTCTCTCTCTCTCTCTCTCTACTTCTCTCAGTTATCAAAATTCCATGTGATTACCCACAAAGGATGAGATTACCGAGACAACTTCAGTGATTTTATTAAAATATATTTCTTAAACTCTTCATTCGCTGCAGCTGTAAATAAATTTCTCGGCCAAATTACTATTTAAGGGTTAGCCCAAAATCCAGCTATTTATCTATTTATTTATTTGTTATGTTTTAATACTTTCCAATTTATACTTCCTATTCTCATTGTGCTCTCTCTACTTCTAATCTTTATATCCCACATTTATTCTTTCTTTTATTTATTTCTAAAAAAACATACTCCTACTTGACTAACCTTACCTACTCCCACTCGATCTTTCTTACTTGACTGATCTCACTTACTCCAATTTGAAAATCTTACCAACTCCAACTTGACTTATCCTACCTACTCCTGCTTGATTAATCCTATCCACTACCACTTGATTAATCCTACCTACTCCTGCTTGATTAATCCTACCCACTCCTGGTTGACTAATTCTACCTACTCCTGCTAGATTAATCCTATGCACTACCACTTGATTAATCCTACCTACTCCTGCTTGATTAATCCTACCCACTCCTGCTTGACTAATTCTACCTACTCCTGCTTGATTAATCCTACCTACTTCAAGCTGATTAATGCTACCTACTCCTGCTTGACTAATCCTACCTACTCCTGCTTGACTAATCCTATCTACTTCAACTTGATTAATCCTACCTACTCCTGCTTGATAAATCCTACCCACTCCAATTTGATTAATGCTATCTTCTCCTGCTTGATTAATCCTACCTACTCCAACTTGATTAATCCTATCTACTCCTGCTTGATTACTCCTACCTACTCCTGCTTGATTAATCCTACCTACTTCAAGCTGATTAATGCTACCTACTCGTGCTTGATTAATCCTATCTACTTCAACTTGATTAATCCTACCTACTCCTGCTTGATAAATCCTACCCACTCCAATTTGATTAATGCTATCTACTCCTGCTTGATAAATCCTACCTACTCCAACTTGATTAATCCTACCTACTCCTGCTTGATTAATCCTACCTACTCCAACTTGATTAATCCTATCTACTCCTGCTTGATTAATCCTACCTACTCCAACTTGATTAATCCTACCTACTCCTGCTTGATTAATCCTATCTACTCCTGCTTGATTAATCCTATCCACTCTTGCTTGATTTATCCTACCTACTCCTCCTTGATTAATCCTACCTACTCCTGCTTGATTAATCCTACCTGTTCCAACCTGATTAATCCTACCTACTCCAACTTGATTAATCCTACCTACTCTTTGTTTGATTAATCCTACCTACTCCTCCTTGATTAATCCTACCTACTCCTCATTGATAAATCCTACCTACCCCTCCTTGATTAATCCTACCTACTCCTGCTTGATTAATCCTACCTAATCCTGCTTGATTAATCCTACCTACTCCTACTCTAACCTACTTCTGGTTGACTAATGAGTACTCCTGTATAGAGAGGAGGAGTGGGAGGATGGATGTTTGGGAGACAGGATTACAGGAATACTTCTTCAACTCATTTCATGCTTACAGGTTGGTAGATAATATAATATAATCATAATAATAGTATTTAATTGTATGATTTTATTTGTGATATTTGCACATAGTTGTATTTAAATGAAAATAATGCAAAATCAGCTTATTGTGTGGTTATAATATTTTAACTTGATATACTTTGAATTTTCGTTATGAAAAATAAACTTGAACAATGCAGTTTACTCAATTTTACAAAATTACCATTACTCCAATCTCAATATATAAGTTGATACTTTATATTAAGAATTTGTGACAGCGTAAATATTTAATAAATATAAATCTTATAACTTTGAGAAAAAGAATTTTTGTTTGATAACCTGCACAATTTCAAATTAAAATGAAATAAACTTTGTGTGATGTAAGATGGGAAAACCATTGATTTCAAATATCCGAATCATTCCTTATACAAGTAATACAAGGCTGAAGGGGTAAAGAGTGAATGCATAACATAGAATATAGTATATAATCAAATATCTATTGAACTATACCAATAATTATACCTTACTGCATGTATCTATTATCTATACACTACGGTTCAGAGTTCAGATAACATTCGGGCTTTAGATAATACAGAACAACCAGGTTAAGTAATTTAGGAGCAGGGAGTCTTTAGGAGTTTAGATAATACAGAACAACCAGGTTTAGTAATTTAGGAGCAGGAAGTCTTTAGGAGTTTAGATAATACAGAACAACCAGGTTTAGTAATTTAGGAGCAGGGAGTCTTTAGGAGTTTAGATAATACAGAACAACCAGGTTTAGTAATTTGGGAGTCTTTAGGAGTTTAGATAATACAGAACAACCAGGTTTAGTAATTTAGGAGCAGGGAGTCTTTAGGAGTTTAGATAATACAGAACAACCAGAGATGGAATTTAAAGAATTTGAGCCGCGGTTTAAATCCGCCAAAACCAGGTTTAAATTAAGCGCCGGCTTAAATCATGAAACATTTGATACAATTTTAAGTGGAACCAACCATATTTAAACTGCGGCTTAAATTTAAACCGCCGCTCAAATTCTTTAAATTCGGCCACGGGTTTAGTAATTTAGGAACAGGGAGTCTTTAGGAGTTTAGATAATACAGAACAACCAGGTTTAGTAGTTTAGATACTGGGGGTCTTTAGGAGTTTAGATACATGGGGGCTTTTTAAGAGTTTAGATACGGGGGGTCTTTAGAAATTTAGAAGTTTTAAAGATAAGGGGTCTTTAGAAGTTCAGATACTGGAGTCTTTAGGAGTTTTAGAGACATAAGGTATTTAGGAGAAGTTGGGAATCAGTGTTAAATCCTCAAATTATAGTGTTAAACTTTTTGAAATCGTCGAATTTTCGAAATTGCCTAATTTTCGATATTGTTGGATTTCCGAAATTCTTGTGATCATGCATCATACAGTTCAACTAGGTATTTACTTTCAGTGCAGTAATGTGGGAAACAATGAGCACTCACACACACACATTTAATAGACACAAACACACCCCAACGCACACATTTAACAGACACAAACACACACATTTAATAAACACAAAAAAATGCATTTAACAGAAACAAACACACACATTTTATTTGACACAAAAAAAGCATTTAATAGACACAAACACACGCATTTTACAGAGTCAAACAAATACACATATTTTATTAGACACAAAAAACACATTTAACAGATCCAAAACACAGATTTAACAGACACAAACAATTACGTTAAACAGACATACCGAACGTATCTAATATACACAAAAAATTACGTTTAACAGGCATATAAAACGTATTTTATATATACATAAATACGTTCATTTAAACAAACACATTTAATAAACACAACCGCACATATTTAATAGACACAAACACCCCCCATTTAATAGACACAAACGCACACATTTAACAGACACAAAAAAACGTATTTTAAAGACACAATTAGACATACTTTAAAGACAGAAATACGAATACGTTTGATATACGAAAGCTGACACACATTTAACAGAAATAATCGTACACAAATCTTTAAGAGACTGCAGCTGTAATACGGGTTTATATAAAAAAGGGAAAGGAAGGGGGGGGAGGGTATGTGTAAAAATGTTTAGCAAGTAGTATGGCTGTCCAGGTGTCTGGTTGTGTAGTGGTATACTCGTATGAATAGTGCACAATGAACAATGTATATCATCATGTATGTTGAGACCCAAGGCAGTTAACCCTAGGCTAATATCATCTAGTCTGTATTCTTTCAATTATTAATATACATTATACAGATTTAGTTGGTTAGTTATATACATGGTGTCCCACTTTAGATAATTTTAATTTTACACAAGGTGTCCCAGTTTAGATAATTTTAATTTTATACAAGGAGCCCCACTTTAGATAATTTTAATTTTATACAAGGTGTCCCACTTTAGACAATTTTAATTTTACACAAGGTGTCCCAGTTTAGATAATTTTAATTTTACACAAGGTGTCCCAGTTTAGATAATTTTAATTTTATACAAGGAGCCCCACTTTAGATAATTTTAATTTTATACAAGGTGTCCCAGTTTAAATAATTTCAATTTTATACAAGGTGTCCCACTTTAGATAATTTTAATCTTACACAAGGTGTCACAGTTTAGATAATTTTAATCTTACACAAGGTGTCCCAGTTTAGATAATTTTAATTTTATACAAGGAGCCCCACTTTAGATAATTTTAATTTTATAAAGGTGTCCCAGTTTAGATAATTTTAATTTTATACAAGGTGTCCCAGTTTAGATAATTTCAATTTTAGATCATTTTTATTCTATCTATTTTACATTAACAAGATGTCCAAGTTTTGATGATTTAGATTTTATACATGGTGTCCCAGTTTAGAACATTATAATTATATACAAGATGTCCCAGTTTTGAACATTATAATTATATGCAAGATGTCCCAGTTTAGAACATTATAATTATATACAAGATGTCTCAGTTTGTCAGGATGGCCTGATAGGTTTATCAAAAGAATTTTTATATTGACTTCAAGTCCCAGTATATCTAAAATTATTTACAGAATGCCCATGTACATTTTCAGGATAAAAAAAAACAAAAAAATCGATTTCAAAACAATGTCAAAATATTGTTTCTTTATCAAGAATTGCAACAAGGGTTCAAGGGATTATCGTTAAGTTCTCTATTTCCCAGTCCCACGTTAAAATTTATATATTTGTTGTTTTCTTATCCATTACTTGTGAAATATATCACAATCTGGGTTCACCAATCAAACTAACTTACTAACTGTCTAACTATTTATCTCTCTATCCATATGTATGTTCGTCTGTTGATCTTCCTCGTCTGTCTGTGCACACCAGATGTTTAGTTTACAATTTAGAAAAAACAACGGATAGAGATTAACAAAAATATCTCGAAAATATCTCAAAAATCTGTCAAAAGCAATTTTGGGATTAGGCCGGAATTTTAAGTTTAAAATATGTTTATTCAAACAGAAAATAAGGGGGGGGGGGTATTTTCTTATAATAGAATTGGAATCACGTATTGTATCTAAAGAAATAGAGGGTAAGAAGAGGGGTTAGGGCTGGTTGATAAAAAAATACATGTAACAAACCCATCCTTATACTCTTGTATTCCCCCCATCTCTAACTGAATACCTTGTATTCCCCCTCTCTAACTGAACACCCTTGTATTCCCTCTCTCTAATTGAATACCTTGTATTCCCCCTCTCTAACTGAACACCCTTGTATTCCCCCTCTCTAACTGAATACCTTGTATTCCCCCTCTCTAACTGAATACCTTGTATTCCCCCTCTCTAACTAAATACTCTTGTATTCCCCCTCTCTAACTAAATACCTTGTATTCCCCCTCTCTAACTGAATACCCTTGTATTCCCCCTCTCTAACTGAATACCCTTGTATTCCCCCTCTCTAACTAAATACCCTTGTATTCCCCCTCTCTAACTGAATACCCTGGTATTCCCCCTCTCTAACTGATTACCTGGTATTCCCCCTCTCTAACTGAATACCTTGTATTCCCCCTCTCTAACTGAATACTCTTGTATTCCCCCTTTCTAAATGAATACTCTTGTATTCCCCCTCTCTAACTGAATACCCTTGTATTCCCCCTCTCTAACTGAATACCTGGTATTCCCCCTCTCTAACTGAATATCCTTGTATTCCCCTCTCTAACTGAATATCCTTGTATTCTCCCTCTCTAACTGAATACCTTGTATTCCCCCTCTCTAACTGAATACTCTTGTATTCCCCCTCTCTAACTGAATACCTGGTATTCCCCCTCTCTAACTGAATATCCTTGTATATACATTTGTAACCATATTTGTTTCCATGTATCCTGTAGGTTTACCTTATTTGGTAAGCACTCTGTGTACAATGTACCCCCTCTCTAGCCTCTTGTATTTAGTACTGGGCTATTAGAGCGCTTTGCTCCCCCTTTTCTATTAACAAATTTAGCTTTCAACTGTTGCTTTGCAATTTAACATTTTTCATCGTTCTCCAAAATACACAAATGTTCGCGGATTTTCTGTTTTAAATTTATGATTTCCAAAAATTGTAAATATTGACACTTTTAAAGGGCAATATATTTTAAATTTCGATCTTAATTTAAATAAAGATTTAGTATTTCAGTTGGAAAATATGAATGTAACAACAATGTATGAACCCCCTACATACAACCATGCATGTAACCCCTAAATACAACCATGCATGTAACCCCTACATACAACCATGCATATAATCCCTAAATACAACCATGCATGTAACCCCTAAATACAACCATGCATGTGACCCCTACATACAACCAATCATGTAACCCCTACATACAACCATGTACGTAACCCATACATGCAACCCTGTCCCTAACCCCTAAATACAACCATGTATATAACCACTCCATGCAACCATGTATGTAACCCCTACATGCAACCATCTATATAACCCCTTACAACCATGTGTGTAACCCCTCCATGCACCCATGTATGTAACCCTCCATGCAACCATGTATGTAACCCCAACATACAACCATGTGTGTAACCCCTCCATGCACCATGTTTATAACCCCT